TACCTGACTATTTAGCCAGGGGCACTGAACTCTTTTCCCTTAGATTGTCAAATAAACAATGACAACAGCCAACACAACAATAGTTGTCTGGCGTGAATGAATCAAAATTACACTCTTTTTGTTTTGGTCAGATCGGCAAAAAATATATTTTTTGTTGTGCCACATACTTTTAGTAATTAATTTATGTGTGCCATGAGATGAGAAAGTTTGAAAATCACTGACCTCGAGATATAATTAACAGACATTATGTTAACTACTGATTATATGTATTCTATTATATTTGTATCCTTTAAACTCTGATAGCTCAAAAGTGATGTTAAATTGACTCATAATAGCAGTGAAGATGAGAATAGGGAAGGGAGAGTTCTAAGAATGGGTGTGATTATTTGGTGAATATTCTAAGTTAAAAAGGAATGAGTAACACTTTAATACAAAGTTTATTTGAAAAAAGGAAACAGACTATTCAAAATATGCAAAGAACTTTTAAAATTCAACAATGAGACACTTAATGACCCAATTGAAAAATGGGCTGAAGTTCTGAACACACAATTCACCAAAGAGACATACAGATGAATCTCAGGGAAGGGAGATGGGGATGGGTGCAGGAATTAACCAAAGAACTTATATACATAAATGCATAACCCATGGACACAGGCAGTGGTGTGGTGAAGGCCTGGTAGTTGAGGGAGTGGGGTAAAGGGGTCATTGGGGGAAAAGGGAAGACATCTGTAATACTTTCAACAATAAAGATCAATTTAAAATAAAGAAGATATACAGAGGGTAAATAGCATGTGAAAAGATACTCAACATCATATGTCAAGGAATTGTAAAATAAAACAAACACTACATACTTTTTAGAATGGCTAAAATCTAAAACATCTATGGCTCAAAATGCTGGGGATGTAGGGCAATAGGGAACTCTCATTGCTGCTGTCAATACGAAATGGTACAGCCATTTTGGAATATAGCTTGGCGGTTTCTTACAAAATTAAAGAAACATAAACTTACCATATGATCCAGCATTCACACTCCTAGATATTTATCCAAATGAGTTGAAAATGTATGCTCACACAAAAACCTGAACACAACGTTTATAGTAGCTGTATTCATAATTATCCAGAATTGGTAGCAACCAGTATGTTCTTCAGTAGGTGAACAGATAAATTGTGGTACATCTATACAGTGGAATATTATTAAGTACTGAAAATGAGCTATTGGGTCATAAAAAGACAGAGGAAACTTAAATGTATTCTGGGTGAAAGCCAGCTGAAAAAGGCTACATACTTACTGCATGAGCCAACTCTATAACATTCTGGAAAATCCAAAGCTATTAGAGATAAGTAAAAGGTGGTTGGCAGGGTTTTGGGGCGGGAAGTAAGGGATGAATGTGGAGCACATTTCTAGGACAGTGGAACTATTGTGTATGGTAATGCATGTCATAATATTTGTCAAAACCGATAGACATGTACATGCAAGGAATGATCCCTATAGTAAACTAGACCTTTGTTAATATTGTATCAATATTGTCATCATTTGCAACAAATGTATCACTAATACAAGATGTTACTAGAGGAAACTGGGTGGAGGAGGAAGAAGGTATATGGGAATTCTGTACTTTCTGGATAATTTTTTTTTTTTTTTATCCTCACCCGAGGGCATTTTTCCATTTTTTGTTCAGGTAGAGCGGGAGGGAGAGAGAGGAAGAGAGAGAGAGAGAAACATCGATGTGAAAGGAACACATCGAGTGGCTGCCACCCGCACGACCGACCAGGGCTGGGGACAAACTGCAACCGAGGTACGTGCCCTTAGCAGGAACCGAACCCGGGTCTCTCTGACCGCAGGCCGACGCTCTAACCGCTGAGCCAAACCGGCCAGGGCTGGATAATTTTTTGGTAAACATAAAAATGCCTTGAAAAAGTGAAGTATTAATTTAAGAAAGACGGAGCCTTTTGACAATGGAAGCCTGAATATAAAGATCTGGTTCTTCCCTGGCCAGTTTGTCTCAGCGGTTAGAGCGTCCCTGGCCCTGGTTGGGTTGTGTGGGTGGCAACCATTTGATGTGTCTCTTTCACGTCAATGTTTCTCTCTCTTTCTCTCTCTCTCCCCCCATCCCTTTCCCTCTCCCCTCCCCCACTCTACCTGAACCAAAAATGGAAAATTGTCCTCGAGTGAGGATTAAAAAAAAAAAAAATCTGGTTCTCGTACCTTTTTGAAATACAGAAGGTGAACTATAAAAAATTTTTTTTGTACTAAAGAGTCAAAATAAAAATCACCCCTGGCCCTTTTGCTCAATGGTTAGAGCATCAACCTACAATTTGAAATCTCTATACTAATCAGCTTTTGTTGAACAATGATATTACGCACTCACTTAAACATGATACATTATTCTGGGTAACTTAAAATAATGTCATTTTGGATTAACTTGACTAACAAAGGCATAGTTTAGGAGCAACTGATGTAGTAGCCAGATAAAATGGCCAGAGAAAACCTTTGAAAATAAGGAATAAATATATGTAGGCATGTATCTTTTGTGGTTTGTAGGCAGTAATCTAGCATTTAATTAATTTTTCTCATTTAACAGACTTTAATCAATGAGGCACTTTTGCTCACTTAACAGACTTTAATCAACTACATGTGACATTGTCTTATTTAGTATCCTGATTTTTTTTTTTTAATCCTCACCTGAGGATATTTTCCCATTGATTTTCAGATAGAATGGGAGGGAAGGAGGGAGAGTGTGAGAAACATCAATGCAAGAGAGACACATCAGTTGGTTGCCTCCCACACAATTGGGATCTATTGCAATGGAACCTGCAACCGAGGTACATGCCCCTGACTGGAAATCGAACCTGAGACTCTTAGGTCCTCGGGCTGAAGCTCTAACTGCTGAGCCAAACTGGCCAGGGCTATCTTAATTTTTTTTCATTTTATTTTCATTTCATTATGTTTATTTACTTAGCTGGAATCATCGACGGCTAGAGTGGTTGTGATTTGTCCCAGATCATGGTGGTAGCATTTCTAGTCTAGTATCAATTACTGCCTCTGTGTTTTATATAACTCTGTGATAAAACTACTGGTGTACTTTTCTTTTTTTTTTTTTTTATCCTCACCCGAGGACATTTTTCCATTTTTTGCACAGATAGAGTGGGAGGGAGAGAGAGGAAGAGAGAGAGAGAGAGAGAGAAACATCGACGTGAAAGGGACACATCGAGTGGCTGCCACCCGCACGACCAACCAGGGCCGGGGACAAACTGCAACCGAGGTACATGCCCTTTGCGGGAACTGAACCCGAGTCTCTCCGGACCGCAGGCCGATGCTCTAACCGCTGAGCCAAACTGGCCAGGGCTGGTGTACTTTTCTTTAGTGTAACATCACATGCTTAATCATTCAATTTGTGATTGGTTTTTGGGGTTAATGATATAGAGCAGAAAATCAACAGTTTTATTATTAAACTTACTACTATATAAGTATTTATTTTGGTAATTGTAAAAATGTACACATGCCAGAACATGTGTTTATAATTCTGAAGGCATTCTCGCATTAATAAGTAGAGTATTTTTATATTATACTTAATTAATGATATTCAAATAATGCAGAGAAAGATTAAGTTCAATTCAAAGATTAAAATTTTTTTAAAAAATATTTTTATTGATTTTTAGAGAGAGAAGAAGGGAGAAGGAGAGAGAGAAACATTGATGTGAGAGAGAACCATTGATTGGCTGCCTCCCGCATGCCCCCTACTGGGAATTGAGCCCACAACCAGAGCATGTACCCCCCACCAAGAATCAACTGGTAACCTCTTGGTGCGCGGGTTGACACTCAACCACTGAGCCACACTGACTGGGCAATTCAAAGATTTTTGATGGTTTCCTTCACACATAGGATTATTTTTCAGTTTGATATTTGAAATCAAGTATAGCTTGTGTTTCTACAGCATTAAATACCTCTGATTTCATGTTTTAGGGCATTTGGCTTGCCTGTTAATCCTGTACTATTAAAATATTCAATGCTCTTTATAAACACACATGTACTAGTCTGACCTTGCCTAACTTAGAAGCTTTTTTTTTTACTTCCCAAAGTTAAATGATGCTTAACACCAGAAATCTAGTTTTAATTTTGATAGTTATAGTTGTTTAAAAAAAATGGAAAAGTATACAAGTAGCATTTTGACAGATGGAAAGCAGATTTAAATTGAGAGATGAAGCAGTGCCACTAGTCAGATGGGAAATTATTTTGTCCTGAATGATCCTTAAAAAAAAAATTGCATAATTTGCCCGGCCAGTGTGGCTCAGTGGTTGAGCGTCAACTCATGCACCAAGAGGTCGCCGGTTTGATTCCCTGTCAGGCCACATGCCCAGGTTGTGGGCCTGATCCCCAGTGTGCAGGAGGCAGCCAGTCAATGTTCTCTCTCTTTGATGTTTCTATCTCTCTTTCCCTATCCCTTCCTCTGTCTCTAATATATCAATAAAGAAAAAAAAATTTTTTTAATTGCATAATTTTAACTTGGACATTGGTCTTCTTTTAAATTCATAATAAGCTTACACCTTGAAAACATTTGAAGGTAGTTATTAGAATTTTAGTTATTTTAGATCCCTTTTCTCATTCGTAGAGATGAGAAGAGCACTATAGCATAAACTGCTTCATTTTCCTTTATTAAACTTGTTTTGGTTCAGGGAAATTTTAAAAATAACACTTAAAACACGACCATATTATTGTCAAAGTTCGAAATGGTTCCATGTGGAACGTTATCCATACACTGTCAAATAATTATTCAGGAGATTTACTTTGCATATAATTTGTATGTGTGCCTGTGATTTTATTTTAAAGAAAAAGTCAAAACTTTCCTACCCATTTATACTTCTCTGAGCAAAATGCTATTGCACTATGAATTTATGTATTTAGTCACTAATAAAAAAGCTTTGTATAAATTTTGCTAAAAATGATGAGCTCTCTGGGTAGTAGTTGACTTAGTTTACTATGAATTGTGCTTCAATTTATAGACAGCTACTGAGCCAAGCCAGGCTGTATGCCATTGCTGCTGAAAAAAAGAATTATCTTCAAGAGGAGTCCACTTCTCCAAGAAGGAGTGCCAGTCAATTTGATTGGGCTCTAATGAGACTAGATAATTCTGTCCGAAGAACTGGCCGCATCCCAAAGACTCTTCTACAGAAAGTCTTCGATAACACTTGTCACTCAGGTATTTCAAACTTTTTTGTTAAAAAAAGTTGAACTTTTAATAAGTATTTGTGGGCAAGCTCTCTGATACTTTTAATTTTGTTTGTTATTTATAGTGATCATGATTTTATATTATGATTGTGATCTTTCTGTCGTTCCAACTCATCAGGGCAAAGTTTTGAGTAACTAAGACATCTTGTCTCAGATATTTATTTCAAAATAAAAATTGCCTTTTTACTTTCCACGGTTCATAACAGTCACTTTTAATGATAAATTTTCTTGGAATATATTAGTTTTTCTTATTTTCCATTGTATAGTGTCAGCTTTACCTAAAATGATCACAAACAACAGATTCTCAGAAACACTGGTAATCATTTCCTTTTTATTATTTCCCTTTTATATTCCCTTAGCTATTAAAATTTGTTTGAGTCACTTATGCAGCTTTACTAATTTGATGGAAGCTTGTAAGCCTTCGACTCCCCCACCCCGTCACACACAGAAAGGCCCACATTCAAGCACGTAATTTTGTATGTAGTTTCAGAGCATTCATCAGCTTCCTAAAGCCCATCCATGGATTTTAGTCACATTAAGAAGCTATAGTCTAATGATCAGGGATACCAGAGAAGTGTCGATTATAATTAATGTGCATTTAAATAAAGTTTTTTCATTTTCTCTCTTTGATTTATTCAGAGTTTTACAACTATCACCACAATTTCAGAACATCACACCAAAAAGAGACCTCCATATCCCCATCAGCCCCCAAACCTTCCCATCTCTTTTAGCCCTAGGCAGCCATTAGTGTACTTTTCTGTTTGCATAGATAGTATATATTTATTCTGGATACTTTATATAAATGGAATCATACAATTAGTGGTTTGTTTTTGTTTTATAGTCGCCTTTCAGGGACATTTTGATAAAGGACATGGATAAAGGGAGAAGGAAATTTATATTATTTTTTAAGTGTTTATAAACTTAAAATTGATATTCATGGGTTTTAATTGTACTGCTTTGTGTTATTTCATAAGATACTAAGAAACTTAGCCTTTGAATTGTAGTAAGCACTGCTTATAAATTAGGTTCTTTGTATTCTTGTATTCTATAGTCTTGCAAATTACATGGATTTATAACCTTTGCTGTCTAAAGAAAGCAGACTAGTTTTTAAAACCTTAGAACTTTTAGTAACATTGTAAATTATATTTGTGGATTAGGATAGAATTTTTCTAGTTTACAGGTAGTTTCTTAATATTATCTTTAGGGAGGCAAGAGTTTTGAATATTTACACATTTCATTTTAAAATTTGATATTTATTTATATGATATCCGTACCGTGTTAAATGTTATCCATTAATCTTTTTTCATAGGTTCCCCAGGTGGTAATCATGCCTTGCTTCTGCTGCGTAGCTGTGGTTCTCTCTTGCCTGAACTAAAGCTCTCAGAGAGGACAGAATTGGCTCATAGGATATGGGATAAACTTCAGAAATTGGGTATGATTATTTGAATATGTGATGTATATAAAAGGTGCAGATATATTTTTCTTTAGTTAAAAAAAATTCTTTACATAAATACTATACTTTTGTGGAATTGCTACTTGATTCATAATTTTTTGTAATGATTTATTTAGTGAGTTATAGCGACATCTAGGGGCATTAAGAATAAAATAATTTTTCATAACAAGTACTACTTTTATGGTAAGCTAAAAAGAGCAAACTAAAAAGGCCTTTGGTCTGTCATAGTTATAAATGCACATACCATTTGACTAAGCAGTTCCATTTGTTAGTTTAGATGCAGATATATTTACATTTACAGAAAGATATTTTTTATTGTAGCTTGTTTGAAATAATAAGAAATTGGAACCAATTTTAATGTCTCTCAGGGGATTGGTTAAATAAATTATGTAGTATCCATAAAATGGAATACTGTGCAACTGTTAAAAAATTAAAGGAGTTCTTCATAAACTGATGTAAGGTGTTGTTCAAAATATAACTAAAAATTAAGGTGCAGAACAGTTATGAATTCTTGACCATTTAATATTTCCAATTACTGTAAGTTGATTTTCTGGGATTTTACAGGTAAACAAGCATGTCACCTAAAAAATAATAATGTCTAGTATTGTTTTACATCTTATTTCATTGCCATTACACATGGTATTTATTACTTGTTGGCTTTGGATTTTAACATGTCTGTTCTGACAGGCTTTCTATATAGGTGGGTCTAAGTTTGGGGTGAAATGCTGAAGTGATCATATTACTCTTTTTGTTAAATTTAAGTACACATGCTCTACTTGTGATAAAGAATATGATTTTCAGTGCTTTTCTAAATTTCATTTGTAGGTACTGTGTATGATGTAAGTCACTATAATGCTTTACTTAAAGTCTACCTTCAAAATGAGCATAAATTTTCACCAACTGACTTCCTGTCAAAAATGGAGGAAGCAAACATTCAACCAAATCGAGTAGGTAGTTGCTATTGTAAAAGTTTGTTGGTGACATCCACTCTTTTTTTTTGTAATCCAGAAATATTATTGGAAAAATATTAACTGGCCCATTGCATTCACAGGTAACATACCAAAGGTTGATTGCCGCTTATTGTAATGTGGGAGATATTGAAGGTGCCAGGTATGGAACTCTATAAATGTATATATAATCAAACAACTGTATAAGTTTTGTAAACCTAGAATATATTCACTCTCTCTTTTTTTGATCTTCTTCTTAGTAAGGGAAATTATTTCAGAAGTATTCTGATCTAGCATATTTGATAATATAACTTATATAAATTATAAACTTATATAAAAGGTGAAAGAGAAGTAAAAATTGCTATTTTAATTAAATTTTTGATTTATTGAAGAGATATATAAAGCTGGCTTTACTTTATTTAAATTGTTTTTTCCTAAAAGAAATGTTCTTAGCCATTTAAAATGTATTCATTTGTAAGATAATATTTATTTCACTGATTTCATATAAAATAAGTTGTCACATTTCTCTTCTTGTGTAAAATGTATTACTAATTTTGGATAGAGGGTTTAGGAAATAAGGGATAAATTGAAATGTACAATCTCATTTTTAACTCATTGAATCTTATGAATAAACTTTATGCTTTTTAAAGGTTAATTAGTAGTGTATAAGAAACAATCAGATTTTTAAAAATTACTATTTGTAACAAGAGTAGTTCAAGACTACGGATATTTCAAGGAATGGGATGTTGTATGTACATGTTATAGAAAGTGTTTCTGATCTATAATTCCAATGAGTATTTCTGTTTCTTTTTTTATTGCAGCAAGATTCTTGGATTTATGAAATCTAAGGATCTTCCAGTCACAGAGGCAGTATTCAGTGCCCTTGTTACAGGGCATGCAAGAGCTGGGTATGTTCAGGTTTTGTTCTCAAGCAAGGTTTAAATTATAGAGAAATATTGTAGAAAATTCTTAAACCATGTTTATCTACCTCCTCAAAAAAAAAAAATCTTGAATTTGTGAGGTAGAACCTGTACATTTAAAAAATAACTTAAATTTATTAGTTTCATAAAACTGATATTTGAAAATGTTTAGTTTTAAAAATTGGGCCTGATCATAATTGACTGATTTTGTGAAGTTAATTAACTGATCTGCTGGTGCCCTGGAAAATATTTTTTGTTTTGAAGAATAATTTACTAAAGTGGTGAATTTGAGTCATAACATACTTAGTGAAGAAATGCACACTATTTTGTGTCTGTAATTGTTATACAGTTGTTTTCTCTTTTGGAAAAGATATCTGTAAAAATTTGAGATGTTTATGATCTTTATTATTTCAGAAACGTATAATCAGTTTCATATGTATTTTCCTTTTTTTTGTATTTTCCTTTTCTGATGTTATCATGTTTCTAAATGGTACTTAAGAATTTTTAATTTTAATAAGCACAGGTAATACATTTGAGATTGAATGATAATATTACATTTAGCAGTGTTATAGTAACCTGTTTTATTTTCTTTGAATTATCTTACAGAGATATGGAGAATGCAGAAAATATTCTCACAGTGATGAAAGAGGCTGGAATTGAGCCTGGTCCAGACACGTATCTAGCCTTATTGAATGCGTATGCTGAGAAGGGTGACATTGACCATGTTAAGCAGGTATGACTTATACTGTGTACATAAACATACTTTAAAATAATTTCTATAAACTTATGTTTTGCATGAAGTGGAAGAATATAGTTTATATCTGCTTTTAAAGATATCTCTTGTAGATAATAGTATTGATAGGAGAATTCTTATAGTTTGGTACCTTGGTGTTAATGTAATAATGTTGAAAAAGAACATTTCTGTTTTATAAAAGAAGTTCCAAATCTTCAGATGATATATGTTCCTAATTGTAAAAAAATTTTGGCATTTTAATATATTTAGCTTTAATTTAAAAATACTGGTTTCTAACTTGTTCTTCTAATTTCTGGAACTGTCTGTAGACTCTGGAAAAGGTGGAGAAGTCTGATCTTTACCTTATGGACCGTGATTTATTGCAAATTATCTTTAGCTTCAGTAAAGCTGGGTATCCTCAGTATGTCCCAGAAATTTTGGACAAAATTACATATGAAAGAAGATATATTCCAGGTAGTTTTTAAATTTTTACTTTCATGTTTTTTCTAATAATCTAAATTATTATTTTTATATGATGAAAAGGCCATTCTCTAACAATAGGGAGTTGTGGTAGATGAACATAAGACTCAAAGTCAGTTTAATAAATTAAAAAATTTGAGTTAATGAATACGTGGGAATGTTTAGATTTGGAAGTGTTTCATTATTATGTAGGGTATTTTAAAGGATATTATATCCTTTTGATGTTTGTAGTTTATAAGTTTGTCTTTTATATTGGTTGCAGAGTTTATAAGTTTGTCTTTTATATTGGTTGCAGTATGAAATTATTATTCAGTTCAGTAACAAAAGACACCTCTTTTTTCTTCGCAGATGCAATGAACCTTATTTTGCTTTTAGTTACTGAAAAATTGGAAGATACAGCATTGCAAGTTTTATTAGCGTGTCCTATAGCAAAGGAAGATGGTCTGAGTGACTTTGGCAGTTTCTTTTTACGGCACTGTGTGACTATGAATACGGTATTCTATTTTAATTTTTAAAATATGTTTTTATTAATTTTTTAGAGAGAGAGGAAGGGGGGCGAGATAGAAACATTGATGTGAGAGCGAAATATTGATCCGTTGCCTCCTGCATGTTCCCTATTGGGGATCGAGCCTGCAACCCTGACATGTGCCCTGACTAGGAATTGAACCTGGACCTCTCAGTCCATGGGACAGTGTTCAGTCCACTGAGCCATACCAGCTGGCTGAAATAAGATTTAAATTTTTTTTAAATATTTTTAATTTTATTTTTTTATTCCTCACCTGAGGATATTTTTCTGCTTATTATCAGATAGAATGGGAGGGAGGGAGAGCTAGAGAGCAACATCGACATGACAGAGCCACAATGATCGGTTGCTTTCTGCATGACCCAACCAAGGCCAGGGATGAATGCAACCCAGGTACGTGCCCTTGACTACGATCGAATCCGCAATTCATTAGTCTGCGGGCCCATGCTCTAACTGCTGAGCCAAACCGGCCAGGGCAAAATAAGATTTTTTAAAAATATAAGAACCTTGCCCTGGCCAGTTTGGCTCAGCAGTTAAGAGTGTCGGCCTGCGGATCAGTGAGTTGCTGGTTTGATTCCGGTCAAGGGCATGTACCTCGGTGGCGGTTCATCCCTCGCCTTGGTCGGGGTCATGCGGGAGGCAACTGGTTGAAGTGTCCCTCTCACGTCGATGTTTTTCTTTCTCCCTCTCTCCCACTCTATCTGAAGATAAATAGAAAAAAATATCCTCGTGTGAGGATTTAAAAAAAAAGTATAAGAACCTGTTAGGAGATTAGACCAATTATAAATATGAAAATTTTGTTTAAGTGTTGTTATGATTGGGTAAAAAGAGGATGAGAAGTTCAGATTTTCAACCCCCAAATTTTAGAATATTAGCAGAAGATCAGAGGGTGGGATATATGTAGATCCAGCTGATGTGTCCGTTTTCCCCCTAGCCTGCAGAGAAGCTGAAAGACTACTGCAAGAAGTTAAAGGAAGCCCAGCTGCATTCATCTTCTTTGCAGTTCACACTTCAGTGTGCTTTACTAGCCAATAAAACCGGTACTTATTCTTATAATTAAAACCAACATAAATAAGTTTTTCTGAGGTTGCTTTGTAATATTTCCTGGTATCTCTTTCAGATTTGGCAAAAACTCTAATGAAGGCTCTGAAGGAAGAAGGTTTTCCTATCAGAACTCATTATTTCTGGCCATTGCTAGTTGGACATCAGAAGGAGAAAAATGTTCAAGGTTAGGTTTTGCCTTTTACAGATTTATAATGGTTCAGAGATCCAGTTTAACAGTTTTTACCCACATCTAATTGAATTCTTTGGGAAAGCATACATACTTACTTATTCCTGAGTGTCAGATCTTCTGAGAAAATTGAGTTGATTTAAATCATAGTAAAATACTGTAAGCATTTACAAAACCAAATGTAATGGATTTCTTTCATCGTAATTACATTAATTTTTTAAAATGTTTTTATTGATAAAAATTATTTTATTTTATTTTATTTTATTTTAGAGAGAGAAAGGGAGAGGAAGAGAGAGAGAGAAACATTGATTGGCCGCCTCCTGTATGTCCCCCACTGGGGATTGGGCCCACAACCTGGGCATGTGTCCTGACCAGGAATCAAACCAGCAACCCCTTGGTGCATGGATCAACACTCAACCACTGAGCCACACTGGCCAGGCTTTTTATTGATTTTTTTTTTTTAGAGAGAGAGGAAGGAAGAGAGAGATAGAAACAGCAATGTGAGAGAAGTATCAGTAGGCTGCCTCCTGCATGCCCCCTACTGGGGATTGAGCCGGTAACCTGGACATGTGTCCTGACCGGAGAATCGAACTGGGACCTCTCAGTCCATGGGATGACACTCAATGCACTGAGCCAGCCTAATTACATTAATTTTATTCTTAATTCATCTCTGATCTTGATAGTCAAACTTGTGAGTGTAGTTTTAAATAAATAGTTAATTATTTTTACATATTTCTAAAACTCTTTAGTTCTTGATTTTACATAGAGCATTTGAAATTAGTTTGCCTAGCCTTATTAAAGGTAAAGTTATATATAATCAGGTCATTTTCTTTGTGGACTAGTCTGTTTCTCCTTAACTGAGCTGAGTTATAATAATAGGAAAGACAAAAACTTTTATTGCAAAATGAGTGCTCATGACCTGACAGCCTGCTGATTGAAGGAGCAGAAATGTTCAGTCTTTCAGGTTCTTAAGTACGTTTAAGCATTTAGCATACTTTTTTCTTGTACACATGGGATGTCTATAGGATATGAATAAGAACTGAACAAATATTAGATTTTAGAGTACAGTATCTAATTCTTTGGTTTGCATTATTGGTAATTCAGAAAGAGTAGTATCATAAAAAGATGCTTTTAACAGAAGTACTTCCCCCTTGGGGAAACAAAAAATGGTCTTTTTCATTTTATCTCGAAGTATAATGTGCTTTAGAATGAGATGCAGAATTGTTAGTATGACATTGGGTGACAAACAAAATGCACGAACAACAAAAAAGTGCTTTTAGCAGACTTTGATAATGCAATTTTTATTTTAAATATATAGCTGTCTTCTGGCTTAAAAGAAATAGTGAAACAAGTATTCCCTAATTGTTTCTGGCTATAAAAGTCTCTTAAATCCTTTTTAGAAAAATCTTTGGAAAACAATATGTTAGTTGATTAACTCTTTGCATATCCTCCAATTCTGAAAGATGAAGAAGTAATCTTTAACCCCTATTTTTGAATCACAGAAAGTTTACATCATTCCACGAAATTATTTGGGCATATTAGTATTGTCCACCTTTACACAGATATGAAAATACTTTGGGAATCCCTGTTTAAATGTTTGCTTCTTCATCAGGTAAATGTGCTTTCCTCAACCTTGGCACTGTATCTAGACTTGAATCGGTTACCATGTTTTTACTACTTAGTACACACAAAAGAATTCAGATAATTTTTTTCTGTACTTGTCGCTCAAACTAGTAGAAAAATGGGCTTTATCTTTGAGGTCTTTATTTTGAATCTGTTTTTTCTTGGAATCTGTCTTTTCTTAGAATGTTAGAATTTAGATTTGTGAGGTGCCTTGTTGAAAGCTCACATATTGATGTAAGAACTGAGAGCTGCAGAGAGATACAGTGAGTGACCTTAAGTTCCACATCTAGCCATCAGTAGTGCTGGGATTACCTGTGAGGATTTCTGTCCTCCTATTTTAAATACTCTTTAAATACCATGACACCTCCATACTAGACATTTGTAAGTATTATGCTGAATTTATTTTATGAAAATTTTTAGCTATTGGTTGAAAATAAGGTACTAAGTTTTGCATTAGGAACATTTAAAAAACTGTTACCAAGTTTTTTACTTAATGAAAGTTTTCAAAAATACTAATTTAGCCCTGGCCGGTTTGGTTCAGTGGTTAGAGCATCGGCCTGCAGTCCAGAGAGACCCAGGTTCGGTTTCCGCTAAGAGCGCATACCTCGGTTGCAGTTTGTCCCCGGCCCTGGTTGGTTGTGTGGGTGGCAGCCACTCGATGTGTCCCTTTCACGTTGATGTTTTTTTCTCTCTCTCTCCCTCCCACTCTATTTGAACAAAAAATGGAAAAAAAAGTCCTCGGGTGAGGATAAAAAAATAAAAATAAATATATATATATATTAATTTATGTTCCTTACAGTTGACGTGTAATATGATATTAGTTTCAGGTGTACGTACACCATAGTGTTTAGACATTTATATATCTTACAAAGTGATCACCTCAGTAAGTCTAGTACCCATCTGACACTGTACATAGTTATTACAATATTATTGATTATATTCCCTGTACTGTACTTTATATCCTCATGACTTTTTTTGTAACTGGCAGTTTGTACTTCTTAATCCCTTTCACCTTTTTCACCCATTCCCCAACCTCCTTGCAGAATCAGTGAAGGTTTTATCTGGAAAACTAGAAAAGCTGTGAAAGATAACTTGAGAGTGCAAGATACTGCCATTGCTTTACAGTTTTTAAAAACTAGTTTCTCCTTTGCAGGAGGTCCAGGAATATAGCAAAGTAATATATTCTACAGTCTTTCTTTATGTAACAGGGAAATGGCTGTATGTATTCTATAGTTTCTTTAGTGTAAGGTAAGCAACTAACATTCTTATTAGTGTAGTGAACTTGTTCTTTGTCCAGAGAAAGTCACATATAAATTGGTAGAAATAACAGAAGAAAATAATGGCTACAGTGATGGAGGATGTAGTGGAGTGTTTCCTGTGGAATAAATAAGACCATTCAGGAGATCAAAGACAGGTATTTAGGAGTTAGTTCAAACTCTGCACTAAGAGTTTTCACAAGTAGGATAGTCAAATTTTTACTGAATTCTAGAATTTTTCTGGCTCCGAATTTAGCCATCACCAACCACTAAGAAAGACTCTTATAATTACTTCCTCATTGTTTATCTTACTAGTATGATTCTCTGTGGTACAAATGGAAAAGTCACCACTTAGAATTTTAGCACGTTGGCTTGAATGAGAGGAAATAACCCAGAATGACTAAGGATCTACATCTCTTGGTATATTTAGAAAATACAAAAATAATAGTATAGGAAGGCTAATATATAAGGAAGGGCCAATATGAAAGCCTAAATGCTCGATAAGATGAGTGAAGTGTTTGAATAGAGAGTATTTTTCAAAAAGTAAGAAATTGGCTCCTAATAAAGTGAGTGCTCTGGTTAGAGTCCAAAATCATGTAGAATAAACAGTCATAGTTGGTGCAAGTTTGTCAGGTAAACCATACATCTTTCCCCAAAATTTTAACTATTTCTCACAAAACTTTTGAATGGAGACTTTTTTGCTCTTGAGTCATACTTTCTCATGACTATATTTAAAATATTTTATTAGATTATTTATTTAGTTTTAGTTTAGATTCTCTAAGTTCAGAGATTTGGGATCTATGTTATATGATTATTTTAATCATTATAAAAATAGAAATATGAATTGTATATTTTAAGAGGATGTATGTAGGTATGTCAGATCAATCACCATTTTCCTCCTTATTGATAAGTATTTCTCTCTTCCCATTTGACTATATTGTTATATATTTATTTATTTAATCCACACCTGAAAACATGCTTTTATTGATTTTAGAGAGAGGGGAAGGGAAAAGGAAGGGGGGGGAGAGGGAGAGAGAGAGAGAGAAACATTAGTGTGAGAGTGAAACATCAATCGGTTGCATGAGCCCCAACTGGGGATTGAACCTGCAACCTGGATATGTATTCTGAATGGGAATTGAACCCTTGACCTTTTGGTGTACAGGACGACGCTCCAACTAGCTGAGCCACACTGTCCAGGGCCTGACTCTATTATTGAAATGAATTTTTAATTTAAAAAAATTTTTCTTCTTTGTTGATTTTAGAGAGAGAGGAAGGAAGAGGGAGACAGAGATAGAAACATCAATTGGCCACCTCCTGCATGCCCCCCACTGGGGATTAGGCCCACAACCTGGGCATGTATCCTGACCGAGAATTGAACCGGTGACCTCTTGTTGTACGGGTCAATGCTTAACCACTGAGCCACACCGGCTGGGCTGAAGTGAATATTTTTTGTATGCTTTCTGATAATGCCTGAGGGAGTGACTAAACTTACCTGAGGGAAGATGTGAACCCAGATTTCCTTAAACCTGTTTTAGTTTCACTTAGAAAAATACATATAAGTTATAAATGCTAGTAACACAGGTCTTCCAAGTAAGTAGAATGTACTCCTCCCCCTGATAAACATTGGAAAAATGAAGAATTAAGAGCATAAAAAGTATTTGAGGCCTAGATGATTGGGTGAAGTGTTTTGTACAAGAATAAGAATGATCAATTTATTGGCCATTTTCAAACATTAGAAAATCAAATATATAGTTACCTTATGCTACATATTATCTAAGGACATTTTTGAAATTGATAGAGTAGCCCTGACCGGTTTGGCTCAGCGGTTAGAGCATCGGCCTGCTGTCCAGAGAGACCCGGGTTCAGTTCCCTCTAGGGGCACGTACCTCAGTTGCAGTTTGTCCCCGGCCCCTGGCCTGGTTGGTCATGTGGGTTGCAGCCACTCAATGTGTACCTTTCACGTCGATGTTTCTCTCTCTCTCTCTCTCTCTGTCTCTCTCTCTTCCTCTCTCTCCCTCCCACTCTATCTGAAGAAAAAATGAAAAAATGTCCTTAGGTGAGGTAAAAAAATAATAATAAATGAAATTGCTAGAGTATTTTAAGACGTAAAATTAAATCATTATTATTACTGTTAACATTTATTTAATATTTTTATGGTTTGACACATTTTTTTTCTTTAATTTTTATGACTGCCCTGAGAGGTAAATAGGGAGCTTTATTTATTTATTTAAATATGTTTTTATTGATATTTTTAGAGAAAGAGGAAGGGACAGAGAGAAAGAAACATCTATGTGAGACAGAAACATTGATTGGCTGCTTCCTATATGCTCCCAACTGGGGATTGAGCCTGCAACCTGGGCATGTGCCCAGACTGGGAATCGAATTGGGACTTCTCAGTCCAGGGGACGACGCTCAATCCACTGAGCCACACTGGCCAGGCGAGTAGGGAGCTTTATCATCATCATTTCTATATTAGAGAATTTCGTTTTCCATATTTCCCAGTTCTATTGCTTTTCTACTTTTTATTTTAGACAAACAAAATGCTGAGTACCCTTCCTTCATTATGATTTAGAAAATAAATGAACCAAACTTTCTGATCTTTTGTTAATTTATTTCAAGTTCATCATCTCCGTGCTTTTAAATTTTATCTTACAGGTGTAGTTGAAGTCCTCAAAGGAATGCATGAAATGGGAGTAAATCCTGATCAGGAGACATATGTAAATTATGTGTTTCCATCCTTTGATAGTGTGAAGTCAGCTCGTGCCGTTTTGCAGGTGAGTACAAATATGGTTTTAATTTCATAATTGAAGAATCATATCATTCCTCCCTAATATTTTATGTAACCAAAAAGAAAAGAGAAAGTCACTAAACTTGAGCGCTAAAAATGGTCGTGTTTTATACAATTTTCTAAAGTTTGGTAAAAATACTGGTTAGTGTAACATCTGTAGTGGTTAAACCTAAAAAAACTTAAAGGAAAGCAGCGTTTTTGTGTGTTGAAAGACAGTATGCCAATATCAGAAAATATTTAAATAAAACAATATTTTCTCCTTAATTCCACTGTACAATGCAACTATAATTTTCATGTTTTGAGTATTACTTTTCACTTCTATATGAATTTTCATAATGCTCTCAGTATATTTACTATAAATATAAAAACATATATATATTTACTAATTTTTTAAATTAATTTTTTGTTCGACTCCAAAGCATTGTTTTCCTACCCAATACACCCTGTCCCAATGAGAATAGGGAAGGCCTTTATGAGAGAGCATATGAAGAAATTGACTTAGTTGGATCAGCAGGGGTTGCACTTTCCATTTTCTCCATTTTCAAAACAAAGTGCTATATACAATTAGGAACAACATGGCAGAGCACCAAATACTTTAATAAGAAATATTTTGTTCAAAATACCTGTTTCCTAGGTGGTTATTCACATAATGCCTTGACTTTTCTAATATTATAGTGTTCTTTTCTTTCTTTGAAATAATTACATAATTACAGCCCTCTGAAAGGTAGAGTTTATGTCTTGAATGTCTTTTACCTTTTTTCGCTGAGTATTTAGCAGGGTATTTTGAGCCTATGCTGTACATATTTTACTGTTAAAAAATATATTAAAAACATGATTCCCACATATTCTTATTTCCCTAAATCTTCTTTTTTTCTCTTGTTACCTTTCCATTGTACTATTTAATTCCACCAATTATTTTTTATGCTTGCATTCTGTTTTATTATATGAATATATCATAGTTTATTTAGATTCATTGCTTATTGTTTGGTTGGTTTTTAATATTGTGCCATTATACAGTGACTCAGTAAGTATATTTGAACTAATTTTTGGCTCATGTATATAAATTATTAAACAAATGATGATGTTGAGAAAAGTGATAAACCATTTGGAGATAAATTAAATAAAATTTTTACCTCACTATATGCCCCAAATGTCATTTTAGATCAGTGCATTCAATTTTTATTTTATTTTAAATTAGAGGACTGTTCTAGTGTCATTAATAGTAAATTTTTCCTAGAAGGAAGGTACCCTAAGGGTAACAAATTATCTGAATTTGAAGATAAGCATTTAATTTTTAATGTTGGAACTCTTGCTGAAGTTCAGTTATTCAGTTTACGTATATTGTTGGAAATGAAAGATTATCAGAATATGGTGATATAAAGAAAAGGGTAAACAGGAAATGTGAATAGCATATTAGAATGTTTCTAGCTGAGGCATAATATTGAAATGTGCTTTATCCCTAGGAAAATGGATGTTTACCTGAAAGTAATACATTTTCTCATGCTGAATTCAAAAGTGAAGCAGTAAATGGGAACTTAGACTATGTTTTATCATTTTGTAAGTATGTGGCATCAGTAGTAAACTTGATAAGTGCTGATTCCAGTTGCTAATGAAAGCATACAGTTCATGTCCTCAGGGCCTACCTCAGTGTAGTTCAGGGTAATTTCCTGGAAAGCAAGGAAGTTTTAATGTGTTTTGTTTAAATCAGACTGGTAAGACAATTTATGATTTGATCTTGTGAATAATTTGGATGTAATTTTAAAGTTAAAAGGACCTTGGAGATAACATGTTGGTACGTAAGACCGGGGACCCAGAAGACTTGGGTTTTGTTTGTGGTACTTGGAATAAGTCTCTTAACTTTTCTTTGTTTTAATTTCATGAAATGAGGGTAGTTTTACCTATCTACCTACCTACCTTTTGGGAGTTGTTGTAAAAATCATAATGAGTCATTGTGTCTGAAAGTGCTTTCAACACTAACTTCTGTTTAGCTATAAACCAGACAAAGCCAGTCTTCATTAACAAAAACACAGCAAATTTTTACTGAATACTTTTAAATACAAAGGTACTTTACAATGTTCACCACATGTTAATAAAATTACCTCCATTGATAGATGAACAAAGGCATAGAGAAGTCAAATGATTTGCTCAAAGTTAGTGACTTATCTAGAACCAAGATTTTCTAACTTTAACCTCATTCTTTTTTTTTACTTCTTTTTGTTTTGTTTTTTGTTTGTTTTTTTATTCTTACCCGAGGACATTTTTGCATTTATCTTCAGATACAGCGGAGGGGGTGGGGGGAAAAAGAGAGAAACATCAATGTGAGAGAGACATATCAAGTGGTCGCCACCCACACAACCCCAACTGGGCCAAGGACAAACCGCATCCGAGGTATGTGCCCTTAGCAGGAACTGAACCCAGGACTCTCTGGTCCGTGGGCCGACACTCTGACCGCTGAGCCAAACCAGCCAGGGCTTAACCTCATTCTTTTAAAGTCTTTATTTTTTAACATATTTATGATGTTACTTGGGAGCTTTTCAGATCTTGTGAGAAAGATATCATTTAAAAACAAAACACAGTCTTTAATTTCTAATCCCTAAAATGTTAAAAGTTAAGCTCTGAATAATGTATATTCAATTTTATAGGTGAGAGCTTTGTAAAAATCAGATTATTGGTATATATAACCTGTGTATTGTTATTTAAAATAGTTCATAACATTGTAAGGAAAAGGCAAAAATGGTGGCTGTTAGAGGTTTAGTTACTTGAGTTTAAGGTTATATATTAATGCTGGCTGCTATCTGAGTGTATTGATTTTGCCTTCCAGTCTGTATAATATATAGATTTTTCCATTTTGACAAGATGAAAACAGAGAAGCATTAGCAGAGGAATCTGGGCATATAACATGCATACATGAGAGTTGCCATTACTCGTTACCATACCATCCATTCCACTTCATTGTCAACCTCTTGATTTTTCAGACTTGTTTGTTGCTAAGGAAACTGAATGTTTTTTGTCAGCAGCCTTCAACTTGCTGAGATATTTCTTCTCTCCTTTTTAATGAATAAAAACTTGACAATATTCTGTAAAATACTAATTTGAATAGTATAAAAATAAATTTTCAAGTGATTTTTATTAAATTTGAAAAGAAATTCCAGGAAGTTGAAAACTAGAGTATTTCACTTCACTCCTGTCATTGCCTCCCTCTTTTGATTTGCAGGTCTTTGGAGAGCGTTAGTTTTATAATTGCTGGTATTCATTCACTCTAGGCAGCTGCTAGGTCTGCACTTTTGGTTGCCACATCTCAAGGAATGGCAGGTAGTAGAGGAGAGTAAATAAATGGCTTATCTTGATGGAGTTTGTGGAGTAGTAGGAAACATTTTCCCACTAGTGTTTGTAGGCATGGAAAATTAATTTGATCAAGTAAAGTAAAGGTTGCTGAGTGACATTTACTTTAATTCCTCAAGTGACTAAATATCAGGTCATTTTTTAAATGATTTTTAGATTTGCTGTATAAAACCCTCAGAAACATATTCTCCTTGTTTAAGGAATATAACAGATGATCTAAAACAATACTTATGTGTGTGGGTTATATTTTATTTACATCGAGGAGAGATGAGCATATAATGTTAAAATATACTGTGACTTTTCCCATGAGGTTTTTTTTTTTTTTTTTTTTAAAGTTAAGCAGCTATCTTAATCTTCACCTAAACTGTATTTATTAATTGTCTTTAGAATTTGCTTCCACTATGAATTCCTCTATAATCCAATCCATCTTGGATCATTTAGTAGCCAAATAACATGTATATTGGAAAGTTTAAATCAATTACTTATAACATGGCACCATTTTATTATTGTATTTGTTTTTTTAAATATGTTTTATTGAATTTTTTTAGAGAGGAAGGGAGAGAGAGATAGAAACATTGATGTGAGAGAGAAACATTGATCAGCTGTCTCCTATATGCCCCTCACTGGGGATCAAGCCTACAACCTGGGCATGTGCCCTGACCTGGAATCGAACTGGGACCTCTTAGTCCATGGGATGACGCTCAAACTACTGAGCCACACTGGTCAGGCAACATGACACCATTTGAATGCAATGACAGAGAAAATATATTCAGGAGATGCTTATTGTGATTCCATCCCTTACTAGTTAAGGCCTGATTCTAATACTAAGGCCAATCAGGCTTACAGTGTCAGCACTGAAATATACAATGATGCAGACTGTTAAAAGATAAAATGAGTAGAAGAGCAAACAAATACTCAGAAAAGTGAAAGAGCAATATAAATCAATTACATAAAGGAGGTAAAGACCTATTTTATTATTACTTTAGGTTGTTACTCTTGCATGAATGCTTCTCATTGATCATAGTGGAAAATAGAATGAGAAAGTGTGAATGTTAACAGAACCCATCCCTACTCCCAGAAAATAATTTTTTCCCTCTTCTACTGTCTTTAAAGGACAGGTACTGTAGGATAGTTACAGTTACACTGTCCATTAATATACAACCTCCATATTTGTACCAGGCTGACTCTGAGTATGCTGGTAGATTGGTTATTGTCATTTATATGAAAGTATTTATAAAACCATTAGTTAGCCCTGGCCAGTTTGGCTCAGCGGTTAGAGCGTCGGCCTGCGGTCTGGAGAGACCCGGGTTCGGTTCCCGCTAAGGGCACATACTTCGGTTGCAGTTTGTCCCCGGCCCTGGTTGGTTGTGCGGGTGGCAGCCACTCGATGTGTCCCTTCACGTCGATGTTTCTCTCTCTCTCTCTCCCTCCACTCTATCTGTTCAAAAAAATGGAAAAATATCCTCGGGTGAGGATAAAAAAAACAAACAAAAAAACCATTAGTTATATGCATGTATACTAAGTAAAAGTTTTAAACGGACAATTTATATTGCAAACATACATATTACTGCATTATCTAATTAATAGTATATGAAAACATTTCCATTTTAAAAATAAAATTTCCAAAATGAAAATTAAAAGGTATTGATATAAATGTTTTCCCAATAAGATAATAATTTAAGTTTTTGTTTTTGGTCTGAGATTTAATGATGACCATTTTCTTTTGCAGTGGAATCAAATACATTGCCTTTCTCATTTACTTCTTTGAGAGGCAGCCTGATTCTAGGCTTTAGGAGGTAAGATGATTACCTTATATGTTCTTTACCTGATTTCTGGTGTCTGATTTCTACTGTCTTTTTTGCTACTATATGAAGAAAGACAGATATTCTTCCAAATCTTCCAATGTATTAGTTACCTAAAATTATCTTAATCTGTTTTATTCTTTCTACTAAGTAGTTGAATTCAGTTAATGCAACCTTTTATATAATCTTTTCCAAGAAATACACACAGATTTGGTAAAGGTCTTGTTTTAAAGAAGAAAGTACTGTTTGAAAATGGCAAGTTAGAGTTAGAGACGAACTTATATGTATGTTTGATTTATACTTTGAACATTTAATTACAAGGTGACTTTTATTCAGTATGATACATTGTTTCTCTGTGTGCTCAGGGAATGTTAATGACCTTTTCTTCCCACTTGTTATTTTGAAAACATTTAAACATAAAGAAAAATGGAAAGAATAGTAAGCATCCACATACCCTTTATGTAGATTTACCATTTGTGTATATATATTTGTGTGTATATATATACATGCACACACATACACACAAACACATATATTTTAATCCTCACCTGAAAGTATTTTTCCCATTGATTTTTAGAGAGAGTTGGGGGGGGGCAGGGAGAGAAACAGAATCATCGATGTAAGAAAGACATTTTGATTGGTTGCCTCCCGCATGCGCCTGACTGGGGCCAGGGATGGAACCTGCAACCCTGGTTTGTGCCTTTGACTGGGAATCGAACCCACAACCCTTCAGTGTGTGGGCTGACACTCTAACCACTGAGCGTTGCCAATCGGGGCTGTTGATATTTTGCAATGTTTACTTGCTTTTTTTATATACTTGGTTTTTTTCAATTTTCATTTTATTTTTCAATTTTTATTTATTTATTTTTGTTTCTCCTTTTTTCCCCCTGGACACCCTCCTCTCCATCACGCACCCCCTACTCCCCAGCATTGTTGTCTATGTCCGTTGGTTATGCATATAAGTTCTTTGGTTTATCTCATCCATCCCCTGTGCCCCCCTCCTCTGAGGTCTGTTCATCTGAACCGTATTATATACTCTTATATAGCTCGCTGGTCTGGCTCAGTGGTTGAGTATCTTCCCATGCACCAAGAAGTCACCAGTTTGATTCCCGGTTAGGGCACATGCCCAGGTTGTGGGCCTGATCCCCAGTGGGGGGGCATGCAGGAGGTGGCCAGTCAATGTTCTCTCATCGATGTCTCTGTCTTTCTCCCTCTCCCTTCCTGTCTCTTTCAAATCAATAAAGAAACTTTTTAAAAAATGTATTTATATACTCATATATTTACTTGCTTTCTTATATACTCTTCCTTATGTATTTTTCAAAGTGGGTTTATAGTTGTTCCTATAGCAAATCAATGTATTTACAAGAATAAACTCTATTTTGCATATTCACAACTTTAAACCTACTTTTCCCCAAACTTGTATATACATACACTTTTTCTTCTTTTTTGCTGAACCATTTGAAGTTGTAGATATCATGATACTGATGATACCAGATCCTTCACCTTATAGCTCTTAAGAATAAGGTTATCTGTATAATCATGATACTAATATCACTCCTAAAAAATTAGTAACACTATAATATCACCATATTTAAATCGTCCTAGTTCTAAAAATTTGTTTTATAGCTATTTTACTTCTTTTTTGGTGCCAAAAGCCAGCTGTTCTACTTTTTGATTGAGGATTTGATTAAGATCATGTATTGCATTTGATAGCTGTTTCTATCTTCTCTTAATCTAGAACAGTTCCCTTTTTTGTCATTTATGACACCGACTTTTTTTTGAAGAGTCCAGGTTACTTTATGTGTAGAGTGTCCCTCCCACATTTCCCTCAGAATTTTTTCTTATGATCAGACTCGAATTGAACATTTTTAGCCAGAATACTTCATAGGTGATAAGTGTTTCTTATGGTATCAAGAAATACGTCAGGTGTCAAATATTAGTGCCATCAGCTAAGTTGATCACTTGGTTATGGTCGTGATCCCCCATATGTCTCCCCTGCAAAGGAACCTTACTCTTTGTAATTAGTAAGAAGTCTGTGGGGTGATACTTGGGAGACAGTATGTCTATCCTGTTTCATAGTACCTTTCAATCAGTGGTTTTAGCAGCTATTGGTTATCCTTGTTGAATCAATTGTTAACAGTGGGGTTTCAAAAGGATGAATTTCTAATTTTGTCATTCTTTCTGCATTTATACTGTTAATGAATTCTGATATTAACCCAGTAATTTTAAGTCTGTTTATTGGTTGGAAGATGAGAATTTTCTGTAGACATCTCTGGAATCTCCATTGTAGGCAGGAAGAAGTAGAAAATAAAGTTTGAGAAATATAGAATACACAATCAAGCAGATATACATGCCGGTAGAGCTAGATTTTTAAAAAAGGAAACCATGCCCTGGGTGGTTTGGCTCAGTGGTTAGAGTGTCTGCCCATGGACCAATGACTCGCATAGGTTTGAGTCTAGCCAAGGGCACATACCTTGGTTGCAGTTCATCCCCGGCCCTGGTCAGGGTTGTGCAGGAGGCAACTAGTCATTTTGTCTCTCTCACATTGATGTTTCTTTCTCTCCCTCACACTCTATCTGAAAATAAATAGAAAAATATCCTCTGATGAGGATTTAAAAAAATAAATCATCTAAAAAAATAAAATAAAATAAAAAAACCATAATGCTCTATGAAGTGAAATATAGTAATATTTTCCTGTAATTATTCTTGGAAAAAGTTTTTTGGTACAAACTTCCAGGGGGTTTTCCTTCTTTAATTTCAGTAATGTTATATTTTTTAGTCAGTTTGTCAGTTATATTTAACAAAACCTTAAACAAAGTACATGGATATAAAGTTGATCCAATATGGTGGAAAAAATTAAATTGTATATTCTAATATATACCCAGTCATTAAGTTTTTAGTGGCTTACTTGATTCAAGTATGCAGAACTGCTTACCCCTCTAGTAAATGTGTCTGGTTGCTGTGTTTTTCTGTTTCTGCTTTTTAATTTTGTGTCATCATCTTTGTTGTCAGAGTCTTTGCTTTCACTCTTGATTATCTTAAGTAACTTACATGTGCTTAAATAATTTGCTGTTTCTGATTTATTGAGGACTTGGATATTAGGTAACCGAAGTCATGTTTGTTTGGTTTATTGCACTGTCTTCAGCATGTAGGTTAATACCTGGCATATGATCAGTACTATTGAATTAATTACTAAGGCCTTATTTTCTGTTTCTATTTTTAGGCATTTTTAATTCAGCAAGAATTTATTGTTGAGATTGGAGATGTTGGTTGGGATCAGATTGTGAAATAATTTTAAATAACATAAAGGAACTTGCCTTTATTCTGAAGAAAGTAGTCTATCCTGTGTGGTGAGGAATCTTGGCTAAGAAAAAGATACATTTAGAATGTATTTTAATTTCAGACATTATATTTTTCATTTCTAGAAATTCAATTTGGGTTTTTTAATATCTTCCATGTCTCCGAGGATATTTTTCGATATTTTGTTCAGATAGAGTGGGAGGGGGAGAGAGAGAGAGAGAGAAACATCATTGTGAAAGGGACACATCGAGTGGTTGCCACTCACATGACCCAACCAGGGCCGGGGACAAAGTGCAACTGAGGTACATGCCCTTAGCGGGAACCGAACCCGGGTCTCTCCGGACCACAGGCTGACGCTCTAACCGCTGGGCCTAACCGGCCAAGGCTGATGTTCTTATCTAAATATTTCATTTAATCATCTGTGTCACTTGTGGGTCTGTTTATTGATTCAGTTTTTTCTTCATTGTGTGTCATACATTTCTGCTTTTTTGTAATTTCTGTTTGGATGCCAGACATGGATTTTATGCTGTAGATCTGAATATTTTTGGAATTTCTTTAATATTTTTGAGCTTTGTTCTGAGGCAATGTCGAGTTAAGTTATTTGGAACACTTTTATTGTTTGCTTTTATGCTCTGTTAGGCAGGAATAGAGCAGGCTTATTACTATAGGATTATACCCATTAAATTAGGTTAGCCCCACTGTTGAGGCTGAGTATCCTTCTAAGTACTCTCTACCTGCTAGCCCCCCATGTATTTGGAGATTATTGGTAATGTGAACTGTTCCAATCCCTGTGTGAGTTCTAGGAATTGTCTTTTTCGGAGCCTCTGAAAAGGTCTCAGGTAGTTTCCTCAGCTGAAGACTGAGGACAATTCTCTGAAGCTCTTCAGAACTCTGTCAGGCTCTCTCCTCTGGTACTCTGTCCTGTAAAAATCAATTTTAACTAGTCCCTTCCAGGAAAGCATTTTTTTTTTCTTAAAATTTTTTTATTTTAGAGAGAGAGGAAGGGGGAAAGAGAGAAAGAAACATTGATTTGTTGTTCCACCCATTCGTGCATTCGTTGGTTGATTCTTATATGTGCCCTGACTGGGATGAAACTGCAACCTTGGCCCATCAGGACAATGCACTAACCAACTGAGTTACCCAGCCAGGGCCCAGGAAAGTATTAAATCTGTACGTTCTAAAACTAGATTATGTTGGTGAATTTTTCTTATTGTAGATATAGAAAAGTTTCAGGTTGTGGTAATTGGGCATTATTCATAAAAACGTGTACATAATTTGAAGCATTTGTGACTAGAGGTGATTCCCCCCCCCTCAAAACTACTAAAATTTCAAGATGTAATCGATGTCATTACAATCCATTATCTTGCCATTAATGTAGCCTTCTATTTCATTTGATGCTGGATAAAGTAGTATATATTTTAAAATCCCTTTGTCAGTATATTTAGTACATCTATTGAAACAGTCACCTGTTGTGTGCCTCTCAGGTCCTGTTGTACTTTACTACCTTTAAAATTGGCTGAGTGAGTAGGAGAAAACTGAATATTTAGTGGCATTTCCAGTAGAGTCCAAATTAACTGCCTTCAGCTCCTATAAGGATTAGCACAGCCCGGCCAGTGTGGTTCATTGGGTTGAGCATGGACTGATACATCCTGGTTTGATTCCAGGTTCGATGCCTGGTCGGGGCACATGCCCGG